ATCTTTATACTTCAAAAAACAATGTGATGTGATATCTTTCATATCTTATATCACAAGTTTTCTTGAGACACCTAAAAAATGTTTCCGGATAAACTCAAATATCTTGAGGGTGGGCTCAAACAGTTTTGGGGTGGGCTTAGCCCACCTTTGGCGACGCCACTAGCCATAGTTGCGGTTACTTTTAATTACGGAGCAACGAAAACAGTAACAAAAGTTACTAATTACAAAGTGTTCACAATTATCGAGTTACGTGTTACTAAGTAACTATGAAGTAACAGTTACTTGCAGTCACTTTTCTGTTACTCTCAAAAATAATTCACAACAGTAACTTCGACAGTAGTTAAAAGTGACGATAGTGACTAGTGTCTTTCGAAGCTGGTAATGCAGTAGTTACTGTTACAGGAGTAACGGATAATTCGACATTTACTAGTTACTTGAGGATCTAATAGTATCTAGATACTCCTACTACAATCAGACGTAGAGAAGTAGTCCAAGTATAGCAGTAAAAACTTAAACAACGGTAGAGAAGCGCGAACGCAGAACTATTATATTTGGCGACATGGAATCTTTTGCCAATAACTATGATAAGTGAAGAATGTATTTATAGCAGTATTTGTCGTCTATTTCATTTTGTTCGTTTAACAGCTAACAGTGCAAAGAACTTAGAATTAGTGCAAAAGTGAAGACGTCGTGTAAACTTAGTACAGAAGTGCGATGGAGTGGTGGCGGACGTACATACTTTCATAGTTCATCTTGATCATCATCTTTAAAGGCTCGTTATCGAAATTTTTGGAATTTTTCTTCGAAAATAATTTTTTAACAAAAAGCTAGATTCGTAATCTTTGAATAAATCTCTTAGGTGTCATCTGTTCATCTTTGTATTATTTTTTTTTTCTAACTGCACATCCTCAGATTATTTATAAAGCACATTCCCTTTAGGTCGTGTAATTGATTTTTTTTCGAAGTACGTGAATACGCATCTGTATTAGCGACTATTAACCATGCATAATTGTGAGACAATTAAAACTGCTGCTAAGTAGAAGAAATGCTTTTACTAGTAGCTCAATTAATGTATAAAACAGCCTAAAAAACTGTACGTCTTGATTGAAATGGGAGAATGTACATTTCTATAGCAGAAAGAATAGCCGCTCTTATTACGGGGTTTAAGAGAAGAAGGAGAGAAGCCAATTTTTCTTGATTTTGGCCCACTGTTTTTTCGACTTAATTTTGATCGCATTTTATAGAGAAAGCGATTTTACACATTTTTCAGTTTATTTGAGCCTTCATACAGTGTGGAGACATATCCCGATGGGGTGTACTTCCCAATCGGGGTATATATCTCGATCTGGATATCTTTTATTCCAGAAACTTTTTTTTAGTATCCTGAACGGGATATAGTTTGAAATTATATCCTGATCAGGATATTATTCGATATCCCGATTGAGATATCAAAAAAATTAATATCGTAACCAAAAAACCATACGAAATTTTGTGTTTTATATCCCGATCGGAATATTAATTTTTTTTATATCCTGATCAGGGTATAGGAGGTGTCCCGTTACTGTCATAACCTTACAGAGAATTTTTAAATTAACTTTTCGAATTTTTTCAACTGAGGTTTTTGCTAAAAAATCAAAATTGTCTAAAAACTTCCGAAACAAAGATGGTTCAATGTAGTTGTTAATACTCATTCGAAATATGATGTTGGTTTTTGAGAGAAAATTGAAATTTGATAATAAAAATTGCAAAATACGAATGCATTTTCTTGATTTTTCTCGTATTTGAATTATAATGGATTGAGCCAATGATATGTAGAGTTTGTTTACTCAAAATATTGTACAGCTTTTCAAGAGTTATTTTTCTATATTAAAAGGTAGTTACATCCGCTTATGAGAGAAAATGGAAAAATATGATCGCTAGATAGGGGATGCTTAAAAATAAACCGAACGTAACTTTGGTTCACATACCATTTTATTCAGTTTTTCATTGATTATTTTTCTATATCAGACTTTACCGGAACTTCATATTAGATTTTGAACAGAACCGTTTCGGTATCGGTTATGCATCACCTCAAGAAAAGTTAAGTTAAAAATTCTCTGTAAGATTGTGAAAAGCTCAAATAAACTGAAAAATGTGTAAAGTCAGTTTCTCTATAAAATCCAATCAGAATTAAGTCGAAAAAAATAGTGGGCCAAAATCAAATTGGCTCCCCCTCCTTTATGTCCAAAATATATTTAATATAATTTGTAAAAAAATGTGAAAGCAGTACACTCCTACTCTTCATTTCATATAAAAAGCAGGATGATTATTTAGAGTACACATGTACACTTTGGAATTTTTGTTATTGTATTGTAGTCAAATAGTAATACGTGGTTATATGTCTATAAAGAATAGCAATATGTTTGTAGATGAGTCAATGTATGATAGCATTTAGAAAGAAATCATTTTTAAATATATTTACTCGCGTCAGAGAACAAGTTTTTTTCTAACGCACAGATGTCATCACTTTTACACTCTTCAAAGGAAGCAATTTTTCAAATTGACTCAACAATAATTAACTTTGTATTAAAATTTAAGATCATAGACTTCGAGAAGAAAAATATATAATAATTTTTTTCATGCATATTGAACGGACTAATCGCAACAACATAATATTAACTTAGATTTCTTTGCTTTTGAAATTGACAGTTTTTGCTAGATTAACTAGTACATCATAGAAAATTGTTTTGACGTAAATTCTAAGCTGAAAAGTAACTAAGAGTAATTGTAACTGTGACATTCTTATTCAGAATACTCTATTATCACATACAGAATAGGTCTCTACTACTAGTCCTCAAAATATTCACTTTTCACTGGGCTACGATAAGTTTACAATCGGCCGCGGAATCCAAAAATGATGATTTTTGATCAAAATGTGAAAATAAAAGTAAATTCTTCGTTGGCGTTTGTGATTTAAAACAAATCCAAATTATAGTCAATCGATAGAGATTTTCAGTAAGAATTAAACACAATTTTTTTAAAAAAAGCGTGTTTAAAAACGAAAAAAATATAACAGAATATACAAAAGCCCATTCTTTATAGACTACCTTAGAGGTGGCCCATCTTTTATAATAACTTTGATATATGAGTTTACTATTCTAATTTCATTATTTTTTCATTCAAAATAAAAAAACACCTATTTTTCATCTATTCCACCTTTGCACTTGTTTTAAAGTAAAGAGTTTTAATCGTTCTTCAACGAAAATATATCCATCCACAATACCACCACGTACATGTGATTATCGATAAAATATTTACTTTTTTTGTATCAAATCATGTATTTAATATTGCTAATAAACAAAAGAATATACAACGAAAATGTCATTTTATTATCTCTATGGTTTTAAACAGCATAGAATAAAAATAAAAAAAAGTCACAAATTTTGTATTAATACAGTAACGCCTACATCTGTTACGTAATTTGAAACGGGAAAACAAGAAAATTATCCATTTTTATTTTTCCAAGAATTTGTACGAATAGTGTAGAATTCAAAAAGAAAAGAAATAAAATATACCTTCATTTAAACAATTTCTTTTTCTCTATTTTTCTTCCATGTCAATGTGAAGAGAAAAAGATGCTCTTATACAAATCGATCGGAATATTTTAATTATAACTCATCATGAAAATGATTCATCACTCCTTAGTTAAAAAAATTTGTTTCTTTATAGTTCTTTTCGTTCTCTCTTAATAATCAAAAGAAAATTTTAATTAATCAATCAGTTTCCATCGTTGCCCCGTCTGTTTTATTTTCCTCTTGTTTGACGTAAGCGATATACTAATATGAGTGGTATACGAACACATACAAATACATATATATATGTATATAAGTATATATGTAAAGAGGAGATTATGATAGAAGGAAATCAAACATTATTATTGTCGTACTATTTTGAAATATATCAAGATTTATCATTAATTAATAATTTTCTCCATTCATCAATGAATAGACACTTGTCGATAACGAGTAAAAACATGGATCTAGCACAGCCCTATGACAATTATTCGACAAGTAGCAATGGTGGATCTAGTAATTCAACAACATCAGGTGGAAATGGTCCAAAAAAATGAAAGATCAAATAGGTGTTAATTTTTTATGAATAAATGTATATAGAATACATTTAATTCAATAATCATCTATCTTATCAGAATGAAAAATACACGTTAAAAAGAACAATTACAAAAAAAGTTTATTCATAATATATGAGACATTTTGGGTAAGGTTTATTGAAAACAAATACCAAATGTCTACTATTATATATTTTTCAGTTATCACACATTTAATTAATGTATGATAAAATTATTGTTAAAATTCAAAATTCTTTACAATATATACGTAACGATTATGTTGATCAAACGATAAATGTTGACTTTATCATTCAAATCGGTTTTAGAATTTATCAAATTCTATACTGAATAAGCTCATTAGTATACGTTCGCTCTAATTCTTGTGATATTTTTTGTATTTTTTACTTATTTTACGTTTTTTGTTGATAAGAAATATTTTGAGGTTAATATCTTTCGAAATAAAAGTCTGATAGACACTTTTTAAAAGAATAATAAAATATCTGAGAAACATCCTACAAATCTACTTTGACGGATTGTATAAAATCAGTCAGTTGAAATCGTTCACAACAAAAAACTTGACTTGTTTTCACGAAATATGTTTAAAATATTAATTAACTCGAATTCTACAGATGTCATGTCCACTAATTCTACTAATTAACTTCATTTTTTTTATAGTCTTGAAAATCATGTATATTGCTGAAAATAGAATTAAATATGACTAATTGTTTAAATATCACCACCACCATCAGCAGCAGCAGCAAAGAAACAAAAAACCAATGAATAATTGGAAAAACCAAAAACCAAAAAAATGGCAATTTGTTCACTCATACATATTACTCATTAGTCTAATTTTATATCATCGCTATCTGTACCACTACTTTGTTCAATATTATCTCTAATTTGAATATATTCTGGTCGTACAAAACTTGCATGTTTTCTTTTTGCATCAAAATATCGAATACATCCATCTTGTCCATTACTATCTCCCACTGGTTCATCAAATATTACACCAATAAATGGTTCTCGAATTCCTCTCAATATTCCCACATATTGAATATTAGCTGTTCTTAACGGTTTATTCGGTTCACAAACATTTACCTCTTGTCCTATTTTTAATAATTTTAATTTTTCAATACTTTCTAATTCTAAACGTTTATGTTGATTTGAATTATTATAACTCAAATTTAAATTACCACTATATTTACCTAAACATATACTCTAAGTATATAATATTCTATAAAAAAATTTTCAACTAATTTTCTTTCATTACCTAATTTATTTTCTTTCAAAAACTTTCTCAATGTATTTTGTCTTTTATCATAATCTTTATCACTCATTTGATATTTGTCGGGTAATTCATTAACATCATCAATATCATCAACTCGATTAACTGAATCAATAAATATTAGATCATTTGTTTTCAAATTTAATTCGGCTAATTTAAAATTATCATTTGTTAATTTCACATTATTATTTAATTTTAAAATGATATTTTCAATATCAATATCTAATAATTGTTCAAAATAGACGCGTAAATCACTAACAGTCCAATTGAGAGAAAATTTTCTTTTACAATAGAAATTTTTAATTTGACATTCAATACGTAAAACAACATTGTCGGTCGTATATAACTCGGACATAATTTACAACAACAAAAACAATGAAGAAGAAGAAGTATTGAGCTTAATCAATTTTCGCTCCATTTCTCTTTTCACTTAGTGTATGAATGAGATACTATGTGCTAATTAAATATAATAGAGAAACATGTACTGTAAAATTTGATAATAAAGAAGATAAAAAACATAGTTTAATAAGTAATCTAAACTATCTTCGAACGCGAACACGTATCATTTACTTAACAAAATTCTTTACTTTTTCTATACTATGATCAGTATGAACCATTTTCAGATAGTTTAGTAGAGATATGGGGAGGAAGAATATTCTCAGTTCCAAACTAGAAAATGAAACTTTATTTCGTATTATCGTACGCCTAAATTATTCCCGAATTAACAAAGAGTATACGTATTACTCTTTTTTGTAAGAGAAAAGGTATTTTTTTGTCATAATAATGAACAAAGGGTTAAACAAGCAGAATAATAAAAATGTAAGTGTGATTCAAGCGAAAATAATCACTTCGTCATCGTTATTAATCACAGCGTTTACCACTATGTTTTGAAAAACAAATATTTTTTATTTTTATACCAACATATTGATTTATTTCCTTTTTCAAGACTCTAATCAATTTATCTAAAAGTGTTTCAGCTAGGATGCGAGATAAACACCGTCTTGCATATAGGTGTAGAAACAGTGACATTAGTTTTGCAGTTTACTTCAAAACTAAGTTCAGATACCCGAGTCTATTTAAACAAACTTGACGCTGTGTTTTTTGATAGTTTCAATTTGCAATACTATAACAGAATTTTTCTCATTCAAATTTTGAAAGAATAAAGCTTAAATTAAGATGTATATGAAAAAAGCGATTATGACCACTTTGGTGAAGGATGTTAAGAACAGCATTGTCTTTTGATTCTAACACTAGTTTTTGTAGAATAGGAATCTCAAAGTTTGCGTAAAAATTTGACTTTTAGTCTCTACTCGATCTGACAATAACTATGCATCATTTTTAATAATCGTTGCGTATAGTCATTGAATCACAAAATAAAGAAGTTAACCTTTGTGTCACGAACACATTTTGATGAGGTTTGTGTCTTTATCATTTAAAGGGAGAACGATCAGTTTCGACTACTTTATTACTTAGAATTGCCTATTTGTATTGAGTAGATAGGACGATCTCCTTCTAGAAGATGTCTTCAGCTACATTATCAATATACCTCAGTTCAATATGAAGGTTGTACGAATCTTGGCTAACAAGCGAATAATGGTGAGGCAACAGCATGGTTATTTGATACACATCAGTTTAGAGCACAACGATGGGATCATATAAATGTCATATAAATGTCCATTATAATAAATTCATCTACATTATTGGGGAAGCGAAGACAGACGCATACACAGACTATCTATTAAGAATTTATAATTAAATTAATATAATTTATTAAGAATTCTAGTAAAAGAGTTGAGCTGGCGTAAATTCTGTTCAAACACTAATAATGTAAATAATCTTTCTCTTTGAAAACGTATAAGAAAATGCATAAACCCTAAATCAACAACAGAAATATATGAATTAAAAAATACTGACAGAAAACTAATCTCAGCCAACACAGAGAAAGCCAATCTTCTCGGTGACTCACCACAAAAGTCTTTTCTTCCTTCCTCGAATACGATAAAGCCTTTTTCGACGATGTGGAGGAGTAAATAAACAAAACAATAATAAACAATAATCCTTCTCTTTCTTCCTCCTTCTCTAATTTCGACCCCCGTTTTTCGATTTTTGAAATTTCTTCTGCCTTGAAACAGACAAAATCAAAACTCTCTGGAAATGCAACAGCCCAGCTATCGTATTTAAACACTTTCCTCTTATCTTTCTGCCTATTTTGTCTTCACTTTTTAACTTACTCTTGATCTCGGGTACTTTCCCCGATGTCTGGAAAATACAAAAAATTAAAATGATATTAAAGAAGAATAAAATAAAAACTGACCCTGATAGCTACCGACCAATAAGTCTTCTTTGTAATCTTTCAAAATTATTCGAGCATTTAATTTCACTAAGATTAATATCATGGCTAACACATAACAACTTAATCTTTTTAGAACAGAATGGCTTCTGTAAAGGTCAAATTTTGATCAAATTTTGATTGATTTAATTCAACAAACTCAATCTTCCTTTAACAAAAGCCAACGAACGGCAGGGATCTTCATTGACTTCGAAAAGGCTTTTGATAAGATGTGGTGAAATGCCCTCCTGTTCAAATTAAAAAGTGCCCTGACCGTCTTTTTCAGGTATTATTTTCCTATTTTAAAAACAGAAAATATTTCGTACAAGTATCGAGCACATCTTCAAAACTATACGACTGCCTGTAAGTAAGACTTCAAGGTGCAATTCTTTCTCCTTTTCTATTACGTAAGAAATGTTATCAGCAGATTTCTATATTTTCGCCTAACATTTTTTATTAAAGCTGTACCGTCTTTGGAAATAAGTGTGCCAAATAGAAATTGATGAGCTCTATCGAATGGCAAAATCAGTTTTCCAGAATATTGTATATTTCGCTTTTAAAATGACAAATACTGATTTTCTGAACGAGACGAAAACTCAAACTTTTGTGTAAATATTATTTTCACAAGTTAAAGCCCCTTTCATAGCTTTTGAGCGAGTTTCCCAGAAGTTCCATAGCAAACAAATTTGGCTTTTTTACACTTTTATTGCATAAGCGCATGCATATACCGCATATGACCGCGCACATGTTCATTAGATCCGCCATGACCGATAATCTGTAGCAAACTATCGACAAATTATTTAACACCCAAACAGTTTTTAAGTAAAACGCGTTTAACAGCATCAGAACTTATTTTGCGTTTTTCTTAAGACTGTTTTTTAGCTTCAGGACTTTCGCCATTCACAGGAATTCTCGGTAACGATACATCGGAGGAAGTTTTTCTTTTTTCTGATTTGTAGATAACAGCTATAGGTAGGAGTTGTCAGAGTCCGATTTTTAAATTATACTGAGATGAAATCAAAGTTCAAGTCATTATTAGCAATTCGATGCATTAAACTTTAGAGTCTTTCATAACGATGTTCAATATCTTTAGTAATATTATAAAGAATCTGATCATCAGTGAACAGAGAATTTAAGTTTGTCTGCAGTTTAATGCGCTCTTGAGCAGCGATGTTAAACATATACCAAAACTCTAGCGGCCACATCACGCTTCCTTGCTCGAGGGAGGTCAGCGTTTGGATCTAGAATTCGTGTTAAAATATTGTTTTTTGCATGCAGAACATGCAGGAATTAAAGAGAGCTTACAAGATTTGCCAACACATCATTGTAGCCAGACAGAACCTTATCGCCCACAAGGTAATTAAGGCTCGATTCGAATCTAATGTACCAATCGATAAGCCGAACTTGCGGGTATCGATTCACAAAATCCTTCGCAACTTGGTAGGAAAGTTCCACGTTCCTCTCTCGAAATGTTTGGTTTTGAACTGCATCTCGATAGAGACTGCCATTCCTATGCCAAGCTACTTCGATCGTCCCAACAAAAAACCTTTCCAAAACACTGCTTGGATCCACCCTGCAAGTACGGAACAATCACGTCAAGAACATCGAATCGTATTATATAGTTGCTGCCTTCACCAACGTTTTCTGTCGCTACATCTTGGAGGACAAGGTCGTTCATTCGCTGGTACTTGGGAAGTTGAAGGTTTCAAGAGCAAATGTTTGAGAGCCAGCGGTCCAGATATGATAGAATCCAAGTGTTTGCAGACCCCACTTGAATAAATATACCTCGTGGTTGATGTGTAAAGGTCGCGATTGGACGCTGCTGTTTGTTAGCAGGGCAGTTATTAATCGATTTACCAGATGTTGTAATGATAGTGACGAATGAAGAGAGGACTAGCGTGCAATGAAAAGTCGCGAACATTTTAAAATGATTTGTCAGGGTTGACAAAGTACAATAGGCTCAGAGGTTAAATATGCAGCTCTAATAACAGTAAAAGCAAAACAGAAACCGTTTAAAAGTAAAATAAAAACATACCGTTCTAAATGTGAAATGAAAAGAAACCGTTATAAACATAAATAAAAAGAAATGATTTTGACAGATAAGAGTTACAAACAGATACTTTAATTCCCTAAATTTAACTTTATGTTATTTGGAATTAAATTAAAGTATCTATCTGTTTATAACTCTATTAGTATTTCTATGTCATATCAGCCAATTCTAAGCTTCAAAATGATTTTGAATATAAAACTAATCCCAAATTTCTCAGTCATGCTGTGGAGCCAGTATACCGAGAATTTGGCTAAAACAAACACCCACAGTGGCCACTCATCAATTGAATTTTGTACAGAAAATGATCATTATAGTTTACCCTAGTGAATGTACTCAGTTGTGAGTACTCAAAGTCGTACTCTGCTGGAAAATGTCTCGAGTACTCATGAGTATTTGTACGTTTCTTTATTCATTGAGTACTCACATGAGTATTCATGAGTGAGTAACGAGTACTGTGGGTATGACTTTGAGTACTCATCCTTGGATATTGCTGAGTACTCATATAACTTTTGACAAAATATTCATGAGTATTGTTCATCTGATATTTTCATATAGAGGAGTGATCTCAGACAGCCAGAGTAGGACTACAAGTCTAGTCATAGACGAGTCCATCCCTGACTATATACAGAGAGACCAGTGAGAAAATAATAATATTAATATTCTATATTTCTTCACTAACGTCTACGTTCTTTATACAGTTTCAGTTTAGCAAAGTAAAACGGTGAATGAATATTTTCTGGGTACTCACATGAGTAACTGAGTACTCCTCACTGAGTAACAATACTCAAAAATTGTTAGTAGTACTAATATGAGTACTCATGGACGAATTATGAGTAAAGTGGTACTCATCGTATGAGTACTTTTCATTAATTCTTATCGAAAAAAATTTAGATCGTCGTATTGCAACGAAAACTAAAAGGAGAAACTTTTAGAGCGAAATTTTTCTTGTTTCTCCAGCAAAAGCGACCTCAAGAAC